GAATGAATAGTCCCGTGTTCACATCAACCGCTACATGTGATGTATTAGTATGTGGCATTTCTTTTATTTCACCTATAAATAGTGTTTTAAGAGTCGTCCCACCGATGTACAGACCCCTCATTGACTTCACATTCTACATCTGTGCCAGATAACCAAACTAACATGACCGGCTACAGCCAGGTCTCCCCCCTCTCACCCTCACCTCTGAACCTTTTCCCTGTCTGGGCCTCCTCTACAGGAGTCACTAACAAGATCATCTGTATTATTCCAAAACTTCATTTAGTCCGTGACACACACCTCAGTCCATTCCTTTTGTTTCACACACCAATGCATAAATTGCTGCAGTGCGCCAGTTATGACGTTCACGACGTGCGTATGTGCGCGCCATGTTGTGTGAACCCTGCCCACTGCACCTCGATCAGCTTGTATTCTGGATTAAAACAACAAATTCATCCATTTCCTGTTATTATCAATCTAAATGTTGATGTTACTGGGGCACAGCAGATCAGAAGAGGCCTAACGAGGCCTGTGGCTGAGGTCACAGCCAGAGGTGACTGCTTTTTCATTTCAGTAGGAAAATGTCTTTAGAATTATAAAAGCTGTTTTCAGACTGACAGAACCTTAGAGATTGTGAAGAGAGTTCAGGCACCTGTGACTGTTTTCACCTTCCCAGCAAATGGCCTGACAGTGTTGTGAGCGATGAGAGAAACGGGGCTGGCTGATAGAGCCGACAGCTTGTGTTCGGCTTCTCTGGTAACTTTCTCCCAGCGTTGTGCGCGCTGCTAAGTTGGTTTGTGTGTGTGTTTGGAGGAGAAGGGGAGGAGGGAAGGAGAAGAGGAGCTACTGTTTGTCTCTGATTAGTTTTTCTTTTTCTCCCTCGTCCTCTCGTCACCTCTTGTGATTACGAATACCACAGGGCTACACTTTTCACCGAGCACTGTCCTCATGGGGAAGGACGACATGGCAGATAACTGGGACACAGCAGCACCACAGCGCTGCGCTCAGTGTTTTTATTCTATAGGTCTTTTTCAAATCATTGATACTATTTTTGAATAGTAAAAAATACCAATCAAATGTGTGTAAATGCTCAGGTGTACAGCACAAAGCCCAGAGGGATTCAGTTTATACAGATGGAAAACAGAAAAGGAGCTAATCCTGCTTGGAGAGGTTAGAGTCAACAAATTGACTTGATTAATTATTGGATCATTAAAATTCACTTATCAAGTAATCAGTTCATATCTTCATTTAAGTTTTAAAACATCCCAAAATATTAGTGGATTTCTCCTAAAAAGCCCAAAAGACTTTAAATCTGCAGGAATGAGCTGTTTATGTAGGATGTAACTTTCTGTAGCAGCTCATAAACTTTCTGTGGGTGTTAAAAGGTTTACTGTATTTAATGAAGTAATCAGTACGGTAAAAAATGACTCTAGTCTATATTCACACCACCTAACATGCTCAACAGGGTGTCTTATCCTACAGTTGCTCACACTGTTATTTAATTGTCTTTAATGCTGAAACCCCCGACTAGTACAAGACGTGTGATAAAGAACTCTCAGCGGTTTAGTTAGGGATCTTTATGGTGTGTGTGTGTGTGTGTGTGGGGGGTTACTAAAAGAGGGGTGAAGGGCCAAGTGTGCCTTGAAGCAGTGTGGGGGCCTGTGGGCAGGAGTCACATGCATTTACAATCATGAGATGGCGGGGCCAGCTTGTATTTGTTTTCCGTCCCTCCCACCCTCTTTCTTCTTCTATTCATCCTTTCTGCCTATGCAGCAGCTGTGTCAGGAGCCTCCGCCTTGTCTACCTGGTGTTTTGTTCTAATGGCTGCCGTTGGCCCAGGTATCCGGTGTCTGACGCACACATTTATGCACAGCAAAACACAAGCATGGGAGGAGACAAGTCGCCAGAGGGAGGCGCAGAACGAACTCACAGTGCCTCTGTCTGCAGCCAGCTCCCATTCCTCACCATGCGTCCTCTGTATTTTGGGGTTTTTCTCTGGGAGACAATCCAGAGTAGCTCATATTTGCTCCTAATCAGCCTCTTGGCAGCTTATCTTTGAACCCACATTCACGGTTCTATTCTTCTTTGCAGCTTTTGCATGGATCAGCATTATAGAATGCTTTCATTATACAGCACTTTGCTGGTATACTGACGTAAGGGTGTAATAGATAGGGTGGTGGTTGGTTGTTAGGCCCCTAGCTAAGGCTGATCTCAGCTTGACACACCCAGTGTGATGTATGTAAAGACACATGTGATGATGACGTTTTCTTCACCTCTTGTATATCTTTGTGTGTGCTGGTGTGTGTTATGGAGCTCTCCATGCGCGTTGTGTAGCTGAAATCATACTTGATCTCTTGCTAGTAGGGGTAGCATTTATGCTAAAAGAATTCTAATGCCCTGGTCGAGAGTATTGTCATAAGGATGTTGATGATATGTGTCATGAGAAAAGCTGTGGGCTGTGTGGGGGTGTGAGGGGGCTGTGGGGTGGCAGTCTGACTTCCTAATTGTCTTGAGGTAGATTTTTAGACTTTAAGACAGCACATGTGTAGAACCATACATTTCTATGTTTCTCTTTGTGTGTAGGTAAAGTCGTAATTAGTCAGGTTTAGACCTGTAGCCAGGACGCCGTACCACAAACGGAGCCTGGCTAGCTGTTCCCCTGCCTTTAGCTTTTCTAAAGACCTTTCCTCTCTGTCTGTTTGTGCTCTACTTCTCCCCCTCCAAACACACAAACAGGTGGCGCAGCACATAAACCTATATGCCCTTCATCTCTCTTTCTCTCTGTGTCCGTCACTGGACACACTGTACCACTGCCGAGTGCGTACCCAGGGGGCAGAACAAAATATTCGCTTGGCCTAGTTATGCGCTGTGTGTGTGAATGTGTTTGTGTCTGCGTGTGTATACATGTGTGCATCTGCATGGTTTGTTGTGCACATGAAGAAGCAAATTAGATGGTGCAGGCTGCTGGAAAGGGAATGAGAAATAATTGGATGTGTCTGTATCTGTACATTAGAAAGAATGTTTGAAAGTGTGTGTGTGTGTGTGTGTGTGTGTGTGTGTGTGTGAGACAGAGAGAGCGAGATGTTAAACTATATATATATATTTGATTTTTTTTCCCACACTACTTCATTTAGCGCTCTGTACCTATGAATGGACAGTGGCATGGTCCCAGGTAGGAAGGCCCCCCTGCCGTCCTGCGCTGGTTCTTTGTAGTACAAAACAAAACCAGCAGCCTTATGCTGGTGTTCAGTCGTCAGTAAGCGATCTGAAGACTGTGTTGTTTTCTGTCTCACTGCTTCTGAGATGAGCCAGTCTTAAGCTTAAACTGGTTCTGTACTTTCTTCCAGGAAAAGGGGTCAAAGGTCACTCAGCAATGCTGAGCCTGCCTGCACTTAAAGACATCTGTATTTACAGTATATGCTTTTTTAGGTTTGTGGGGTTAAGCTGGAAGAACAGGAGAGAAAAAGAACAGATTAATGCCTAATTGATTATTAGTTCATTGGTAATTTTGATCATTTAATACGTCGGTAATCAAGCAAAAAGAATGAACATTAGCTAGGTCCAGTTACTATGTGCTGCTTTTCATTTGGATCTTTTTAAGTAGAATATCTTTGGGTTTTCAACTGCTGGACAGACAAAAGAGGCAATCTGAAGATTGTCCTTTTGGCTCAGCATTGGGAGTATTCTTTACTGTTTTATGACACTTTAAGACTAATCAATTAGCCCAGTACTCGGAGTGTAATGCCAGCAACAAAGAGAATTGTTATTGTAGCACTACAGCCAGTGAAACCATAAAATAGGTTTACTGGTGTTCACGGTAGGACTGCAACTATCAATTACATTTACTGTTGATTAGTCTGCAGATGATTTATTTATTTAATTAGTACGTTGTTCAGTTTGTGGAATGTCAGAAGGGAAAACATATCCATCAGACGTCCAAGGTGATGCTGGTGATGACACCATTAGTTTTATCTATCTGACCAACAGTAGAGATTCAAAGAGAGTCAGTTTACTCTCAGAGAAAAGTGAGAAAAGCTGCAAATCATCACCACTGAGTGGAACTAGGTCATGTTGAGCACTTGTGCTTAAAAACTGAGGCAGATTAAAGTTTTAGCAATCAACTAATTGACTAATCAGTGAACTAACCACTACCACAAGTGCATATGATCGACATGTCAGACTTAAAAGGTCTCATTACATGTTCCCATCATCTGCATTAGTCAAGATTTGCAACCCATTCCTGTCTGGCTGCTCCTTCCAGTATTCACAACAGAAAGCCTCCGGGACATCCACGGTTAACATTTTAAATTGTATTCGAGCACGGGACAGGTTGTTTAGCACATAAATACAAGGTTTCAGCTCTAACTCAAACTCCAACTGTGAATGTGCGTGTGTGAGAGCATGTGCAATCACAGGAATAGCGCGTGGGCTCTCGGTGCTTGGTGACTAAATGGCGACATTATTGTACTTTTGGGAATAATTTAGGGAAATTCAACTACACTCCCAGACAAACCCCTCCGGGCTCTGTGGCTATGTGTATGTGTGTGTCTGCTGCTGTTCCTGCTGTGGAGAATTTGCCTCATCCACTCAGGCTCTTATTGGTTTTTAACTTTCTGTTTTATATTCCACACTGCTCTGCCATTTTCCTTCCATGCAGCAAACTCCTCATTTATTCAGTTAATTATTCACCCTTTCCATCACTGCTACAATGCTGAAGAAAGCTCGGTGATTTTATCTTCAGATATTGGGATCGCTTTGCGCCACACACACACAGACACACACACACACACACACACACAGTTTTTGCCATTATCCGTCATCATCTAAAATTAATGGACACAATCAGTAATTACCACATCAATAATTAAGCCAACTTCTCTTTTTTTTGCAAGATATGGAGAAGCTCAATGACAAACACTCCAGTCCGCAATGCATAATGAATGACTCATCATCAGTTTTTCAGCAGCTAACTAATGTCCTCCTTTCTCTGCCTCTCCTTCCAGATTCGTGCCGGGCCAAGGCGTCATATTGTACCCCCAGATCGGGGATAAGTTGGACATTGTGTGCCCCCGAGTGGACGGTGGGGTGGGTGATGGCGTGGAATTTTACAAGGTATATATGGTGCCCAGGGAGCAGCTGGAGACCTGCACCATCACCAAAACCGACACGCCGCTCCTCAACTGCGTCAAGCCTGACCAGGACGTCAAGTTCACTCTGAAGTTTCAGGAGTTCAGCCCCAACCTATGGGGCCTAGAGTTCTTCAGGGGGAAGGACTACTACATCATCTGTAAGTAGTGTATTGTTTTGGCCCTCACTCAAGGGGTGATAAGTTTCCTTCTGTAATTGAATGGATTAAAGCAGCTGCATGTAGTTTGTCACCTCTGAAGAACCAGTTGTTGGTGACATACCTTATATTTCAGAAGACGTTTCTTGTTATATAATGTCAATAACATGTCAAACAGAGCTGGTGAATGCTGAGCTAGTCCACACATACAGTAGCTACAGTGGAGTTTACTCTAACATTGTAACATTAGTTTGGGGTGTCATGCTTTAAAAACTCAGTCAACTGCCCATACATGTTGCATGAACTGCTCTATTCATCATGTGCACATATCATCACAGTTGAATGCACGTTGATATGCCTTCCATAAATGTTTCTGATGGACTTTGTGGGAAATGTAGGAGATAAGCTGAAGTAAATGAAGGTAAATGAGGCTGAGGGGAACAATAACTTGGAGAACTTCTTTATCACAGACCAAGAAAGATTTTTCGTCGAGATCCTACTGATATAAGCACTTGGTAAACATTTTAGATCTGTTTGAACTTATGCTAAAATACCATCCAAGTCTGATGTGATTCTGTCTTTGGGATTTGCTTGTGGTGTAAATCCACCGTCTAGAACGATCCATGGTAATCTTAAAGTCAAAGTGTTCCAAGTTGTAGGAGAACTTTGTGACGAGTAGTTCTGATGTTTAAATACAGTCAGCATGCTTAAAACATAAAGCTGATGAAACAGCATGTGAGACCCCCTCATCCCACACCTTTCCATCATAGGCCTGCAGATGTTACACTGTGTTAACTGACACATACTGCTCCTAAGCTGTGAGACCCTGTTGTGTCTTGTACTCTTCAGAAACACCCATCACTCCATTTGGCATATAAGTGATGGTGCAGGTGTGCCACTCCTCTTTACTGATTGCCTGTGATGTACAAACACCATCCTGGGAGGAAGTTCTGATGTGGTTTATCGACAGCCCCCTGGTTTAAAACATTGGAGGTGGACTGAACCATCTGCGTGGTGCTGATGGGGGGGTTTGCCGCAGATAGGACCATCTGTGAGGCTCTGCCCCAGCCATCTGTGAGCTGTCACAGTAGGGGAAGGCCATAATTTTGAGTAGAAGGAAAGGGGAAAAGGAGAAAGAAGAAAGGAGGAAGTAGGAGCAGGAAATGTCACTTCTTATCTTATCCATCTTTTATTGTGAAGTTTGCAAATTAAATGTGCAAGGCAACAGTTAATTGTACTGTCCTGTACAGCTCTGTCTTTGAACTGCCTGCAGTAGGTGTCTGAGCTCCACAGTACTCCCAGAAAGATGTGTCATGCAACTGTTTCAGAAAAACAGGTTCACCAACACAATATACTCATTCAGTTCTTCTGAAGCTAGTTGAAGCCCAAACAGCAGCAGTGTCTGCTCAGTCACTAATGTGTCATAGCTGCAGGGTGTTTGCATGGTGGGGCATGTCTTGCTGTGTTAAAAGTCTAGCAGGTAATTGTGTGGTCTTGCAGGTGAGACATTTAGTCCAGAAAATGTGCTGGAGCAAATAAAGCAGGTTAAATGCTTAATGATGGTGTTGGCAGATGAGCTATATGAGAATACCTGACTGGGCTGGATGCACACACACATGCACTTGTGCAAACATGCATGTGCATGAACATCCACAGAAAAAGAGCAGACCACTAGATGTGGCTTGTGTGTGTGCTTGAGGACTACAAAGGCTTCTGTCTGAGGAGACAGACACGATCACTCTCCCCACGTCTCCTCTTCGGCTGCCTCCAACCAAACGCTGCAGTTAATTATTGATGAGCAGATGCTGGTGTTTACTTACCACTGTTCTCCCAGCGCTCTGCCTGCACTCCTGCCACTGAATGGATCACAGAGTGGGGAACAGAATCTGGTAGACAGGGTTAAGTTCAGGTTAATGAAGACTATAGATGAGAAAGTGCAGCGTAGACCATTGCAGGTACATGTAGGGCTACACCTGGTGTGGACAGACAGGTAGAAACATGCATGCAAGGTCAAACATGCACATACTGTATGCTGACAGTGCACACATACAGGTTGTCCCTCAGGAGGATGGAGCTGCAGCTTGGAGCAGCTTTTCTGTGAACACACAGTTGTACCCATATGAACACCAAGTGACAACAAAGCCTCCACACTCTGTCGCTCCATGTATTTCTCTGTGTGGCTCTCTACCACAGCCTGAGCACACAGGAATATTCAATTTCCCACCACCTCTTGCTAAAACCCCTGCTCCTCATCAGTCTGCAGAGTTGACAAGTTGAAACAGAAAGAGTGGTGGGAAAGTTCAGTTTGGAGCTTCTAAAAGAGGGGTTGGAGAATCCAATTTAGCAGTTTTTGCAGATTCCCCTCCATCAACATCCCTCTCCCCACCACCCCCTGCCACTGCAGCTACCCAAAATGCTAGGGTATGGCCTAAAGAGGGGAGAGAGGGAGCTGTTTCTCCAGTGAATGTGCCATGTTTTGCTGTTAGTTGCCTCTTCTTGGCTAGCTCTGGCCCCATTTCTGCAACTTTTAGCAGATCATTACAAATGAATTGTGGAGCTGTGGTATATACTAAGCGTTGGTCCTTTTTCTTAGAAAAAAAAAAATCGGGATTCAGATGCTTGGAGACGCTTCACCTTTGCATGGATACAAACCAAGGGCACAGTGCTAAACTGGTTTCTAAACTCTAGGCACAAGGTGAACATGGGCAGGTTCTATGGTGTTTTACAATTTTGGTGACTACAGACGCAGAGCACTTTTGTGCACAGTCAGGCGTTACCGGGCACATTTTGTAGGTGGTGAAATCCATTATTATAGGGAGGACTACATAGTGAGCAGGTGGAGTCGGGGCTGGTTTTAGTTCTGCCCAGTCAAACCAGCTCCTCTCATCCCCTTTACAGAGCAGGGTGGAAACCTGACTGACTGATGTCACTGATGTCAGGACATGGAGACAGATGGGAGGAAAGATTCTTTCCCTGCATCTTCTTCTCCTGCCAGCTATGCACTGCATTCCTAAACTGTTTATGTAGAAGTACTGCACATAAATATCCAGTCAGCAGTCTGCTGACATCATGGACGAGTCTCTGGTCCTGTGACCAGCAGCAGTTACATAGTGTAGTTTTCTCACAGCCGCATCCAGTGTGTGAAATCCACGGGGGCCTCACATGTAACCTTTATAAATGTTTCACTGTTTTAAATAATACAATAAAATCTTATTGTAATCACTGTATTTATGATGAAACTGATTGTGGTCCTCCAGAACTCACAGCCAGTGGATGTGTTGACTGCTTTATCTCCACCTGCAGCTGCTTACAAACCTGATCAAACTGCTTTAAAATACAGAAAACAGAGACAACTTATATCCCTGCAGTAGTAACGAAGGCATGTCTGTGTAAAACCTGTTCATTTGAAGAAACTGTAACTGAACAGTCACAGCAGCCACAGTGAGGGCGAACTGACTCTACCTGCTGCGTAACAGGATTAATGGAGACGTCTGCAGGCTGTTTGTTATGTATCTTGGCTCATGAGCTGCTTTCATGTGTTATTATGTGGAATGTTTTAACCTGCATGTGGATTCCCAAACACTGGCTGCATCCTGTAACTTGATGTCTCCTGACGTGCACCAACACTATTTGGCCACATTCATATCTATAGCCACACACTGACAACTAGTTTATTTATCTTACTTAAAATTATCTTCATAATACACAGTAAAGTCTTCAGAGTGAAAATGCAAATACACCTATGACAGTAGTAAGAGGTGGTCTGAGCAGGTGATATCTTTATCTCTATTTCAGGTTTAAACCAGCACCAAAACTGTGCTGCGCTGCCTAATCAGCATAAGAAGGGCCTCAACTGTGCTTCTCCTCCCACATCATTGTAAGGACGTTCATTCATGGCAGGGAAATACCAAACACACTAATGCACAAAAAGGTGGAGATATGTTTAAGACTGCAAATGACTGACTGAAAATAGAGCTTCAAGAGTAAAGTGCAAACAAACAGCAAAAGAAAAAACAAATGCAGTGTGTAGGTGGAGTCATGGTTGTCTTTACCTTGCGTTGTTGGAATGAGACTGTGAAATGTTTCTTGTAGGTGTAATTGCATATGTGTTTATGTCTTGGCTGAATAAGATATGTGATTAAATAGATCCATAGTCTCTACTTGTCATGTGTACCTCTACGTCAGATGGTGTGTGTGACCCCTCCTGTCTCCCCTCAACAGTGTTGTGAGTGGGATACATACTGTCTCCAAAAGTTCTCCGTGAGGATTTCATTAGTCTTTTGGAGTGAGCACTCGATACGTAATTAATTAACCAGCGTTTAATCCTCCGTTTCTTCTACCACATCAATGCTACAGATCAGAGTCTCAACCAACTGGATTAGCACTGCCTTGTGTCGAGTACTGTGCCCAGGCTACACCTAGATTACATGGGTATGATGGGTATGCTACGTCCCCAACTCCGTATCAGTTCAACCAGCTATGGCATCATGATATGGGCTGCTCGTGTGTGTGCATGTGCACTTTTCCATGTTGTGAATTGGGCGTCTTGTGTTTGCTCGCAGGCTGTGTATGTGCAGATTTGTCACCGTGCTTACATGTGCTCACGTTTTTGTGTTTGTGTGCATTTCTGTGAGCCACGCACAATGCTGCTCCAGTTGAGAGCAGATGAGGTTGATGTGATTGTGATTGTTTGCGACATCATGGCCTGCAGCCGAGAACCTAGTGAGCGAGATGATTACACGAGCTAAAATGGGAGAGAGGGGAGAGAGATGAATAAGGAGAGGAAGGGGAACACAGAGTGATATAAGTGAAGGAGAGCTAATGCGGAGTGGAAGGGAAGGAGGGAAGGGGAAAGAAAGCTAAAGAGAGAGGGAAGGAGGGAAATATAGCTAAAGGGACTGGGGGCATAGCAAGAGAGATGAGCCAAAGAGGGCAGCAGAAGGACAAGAGTGAATTTACAGTCAGAGCAGACATGCACAGGAACATTTCATCAAGACTTTTAA